GTGGGAACAGAATTAATGACGAATAACGACTAGAATAATAGATAAATGCAGATTTCTCTGTACATTATCACCTTAAATGCAATAATCTACTCACTTCAACTGCCGTAACTCTATTTAATTCACTCTGGAGTTAGTCATTTAGCGAAGTTGTAGTTAGTGGGTGAAAATCAGTGCGTAAATCCAGCGACCGTTAAATGTCACCGTCTTTCTTCATCACAATCAACAGCCGTTAGATCACGGCGCGGACCGCAATCACCATCGACACCATGTTCTTCGATCAAGACAGTTTTGGCCTTGGCTTTGCCGCAGGGCTCGTCACGACCCTGGCCATCGCTGGCATCATTGCTTTGGTGGTGATGCGAATGAGCGATATCTACGGTTTGGGACACTGGAAGCTCAACATCACGACGCGACCACCATCCATGTGGATGAACGTGGGATACTGGTAAGACCAGCCACGTTTCTCTGCAGCCTCAATCACACATCCATTGACCCTTCTCCCAGGAAAACTCCTACAGGCGAGCCAATTGACACGCTCCCCGAGGCTGCCTCTGCGCTGCTCGAGCAGGTTGTGAGCGCTGCCGGGTTGTCGGGTGATGCACCTGGTAAAGCTAGTCCTCGCGGTTCCCTCGCCATTCTAGATCTGGGGTTCGGATGTGGTGACCAGACTTGGCAATTGGCGAGGACGGCTACGGAGCAGGGCTGGAGGGATTTTGGCTATGTTGGGCTTACGCTTAATGATGCGCAGGTCCAGACGTCGCGACGCAGGATTTATCGCGAGTTGTCTGAGGCGGGGGCTGCATTTGATGCGGAGGCCTTCAGTCTCTTCCGCGCCGATGCCGCAAAGCCGCAGACTTGGAGTCCCAAGATCAAAGAGGCTGTTTATTCACTGGCTGATGAGAAGTATACCGAGCGATGGCTGCTTGCCCTCGACTGTATCTACCATTTCTCCCCGTCCCGAAAACCCGTCCTCTCACACGCCGCCAAAGAACTCGACGCCAATTACATGGCATTCGACCTCCTCCTCAACGAAAAAGCCTCCACCAAGGATATCTGGAGGGCTAGACTCATCGGAAAAATGATGGGCTGCCCACTCAAAACCTTCCTGTCGGAGGCAGAGTACAGAGACCAACTGGTGGAGTGCGGATATGACCGCAACGAGATCACGATCAAGGAGATCACAGACGATGTCTTTTCGGGCCTGGTCAAGTTCCTCGATCGCCAAGACAAACTGTTAGCAGAATACGGCATCACAATGGGCGGCTTCAAATTGGCAGGGAGATTGTTCAACTGGTTCGACAAGTCCCGTGTCGTAAGAGCCGTGGTCATCGTCGCTCGCACCAAGAGCAAGACAGGATAGGGAAATAGCACCGTAATCACAATTACCCAAAAAGCGACATTAATTAATTAGCATTTGCTCTTGTCAGATTTTACTTTTGTGCAGTTGCATCCCACCTTATTCTTATTCTTAATTCTGGCCCTATATCCGCGTGGGCTTCCGCGTCCCCTCCCCTTGCTTTTTTATGACACCGCGTGGTTTGGTCTGGGTTGCTTTACAATTTCCAGTCTCGTTTTTACTAGCCCCGCTCTCCCCGCTCGCTGTTCCTGAATATCGAAAAATAACGTCGTTTTGTGGGCGATTGGTAGTCTGTGTTTCACTAAACGGTCTGATGGTCGATGCGCGGACGGACCTTGGGATCCCAGGAACCACGGCGCTGGAATCGCGGACCCGCGGGCTAGGTAGGCTCAAGGCTATGAGCTGAAGTAAAACAGCCAGGGTGTTTGTTAGGTTAGTGTTGTTCGCGAGTGAGGCGAATAATACAGTGACATTGAATGAGGAACTGTGAATCGGGGTCGGACATTGGGACTTCGGCCGATAACCTTGTGGACTGTCACTGTAGTGCCAGCGAACGTACGACGGGAATCGCAGATAGAGTGATTGGCTCCAGTACAGATGCATCGTTAATCAGAGTTAATCGCTGACCTGTCATCCCTATATCTCAGCTTCTAATGTTCCTTTCAATCTCATTAATTTGCGGAATGTTCTCGGCCCCGGGCTTCTCAACGGTCCTCGATCCACAATCAGTTTTGTTCCCCGGCGCCAAGGTGATAATCTACCGATCCAATGCAGACTGTACTGTGCGTCACGTCACCAGGATCATATGTACTGTACTCAAACAGGTCACGGATATGATCGCATTTCTCCCCCTCTTCCTTGATCAAGCCTGCCCCGCGGAGGCAAAAGAAAGTATTGACCAAGTTAGTTAGTGACATACAGCCTGGAACCTTTCTCGTTCTTCTAAAAACAAACCACATGGCCCGCAAGGACGAAATCGTCCAAGCGTCCTTGTCAGGGGTGACCGATCAAGGGTTTAGTTAAACCACGTATAGGAAGCCTCGATATATGCCCGAGACAGGGGCCTCATCCTGCAATAGGAATCACTTCATCGTTTCACTTTTTTATCTGCACGACGAAAAGAGAGAGAGAGAAAAGCCACTTGGCGACCCCGGACGATGGGCGGGCCTTAGTTTTACGATTTCTTCGGGCTGATAGGCTCTTTTCGAGCCCTGTACCGTGTGCGTGAAACTGCCTTTTCGTGATGATCGTGTCAGGTCCGTGGAGTTCGTTTCCGACAAAGCAACATCCTGCATCCCAGGCCCGATGGCGAAAAAAAGCATAACTCATGTTTCGGTAGATATTAAGAGTGTTTTAATGGCCTGAGCTGAGTCTATTACGTCAATCTCGGGTTTCAAGAAACAGAAAATACGGAAAGTCTGTCCACGCGGCATCTCCGCCAACGAGGCCTTTGACTTTTCGACATCGAACATGCTCACCACGCGGCCCCAGTGTCCGATTAAGGTAGACCCCGTCCCGTATTAGTTTGCAAGGGTCACTTACCCAAGCGAGTGTTAGGCTTATCCCAAGCAGGGGCGAACACATCTCGCGTATGCTCGTCACCAAGCAGGACCAGGGGGGGCTGGGGCTGGTCCAGAATCCTTCTTTTACGTTTGTGGCTCCCCCGATTTTTTCTAGCTCTTCTTGATACCTCTTTTGTTTTATTGTTGGTTTCTCGAATCTGTACCTGCATTCGCCAAACGAAACATCCGGGTATCTTGTTGCCGCCGAGGAGGAAATGTGAGCGATGAAGCTAAGGCTTCGCGACGACCAAGATGACGGACCCGTCCATACCTTTGTCAATCCCTATGTCGAGTTGAACGCCGGGCTGTGGTCGCTGTTTGCCGGAGCGACTTTCTTTCTGTGGTTGAGGTTGTACGTCAAGATTACGAGGAGACATGGAATGTGGTACGATGATTATATCCTTCTGGTATCATGGGTGAGTACACATCATCCCAGCATATCGAAGCTGTATCCTAACAGCTCCAGTTCATCCTCCTCGCCAACAACAGTCTTATCGTCTGGGAATTCGGAAACGGCTATGTTCTCAAGGACTCATCACAACAATGGGACGACAGAATGCACATACTCATCAACATCTCGTCATGCGGAACACTGATCGGCCAAGCGTTGACAAAAACAGCCTTCGCGGTGACACTATTACGAATGAGTAACCGCTGGCAGAAATGGATCCTCTGGTTCTGTATTGGCTCCATGAACGCCTACATGATTGTCAAGGTGTTCTTCCAATGGGCCAAGGTCTGTGGCAAGGCAACGTACGACAACTGGTATCGATTTGACTTCTGCTTGGAACCTAAGTTCCGAAACGACTTCAAGGAGGGTGGAAACAGTGAGTGACCATGGACAACGAGATGTGCTGAAGGATACTAACGGGTGCAGTCTACAATATCATTATGGATTTCGTGTTTGCATGCTTCCCTTGGCTTATCACCAGAGGGTTGGAGATGAAGAAGGCTGAGAAGATTGGCCTTTGCTTCACAATGAGCCTGGGAATGATGTAAGTCAAGAAGGAACAACACTCAAAGACAGACTTCTAACTCCAGTCTAGTATTGCTATCGTTTCGGCTATTCGCGTTAGCTGGAAGGACCAAGGAAATGGCCGTGATGCCTACTACATCTGTAAGTCATCTCGTCTGAGTTTCACAAACCTAGCTCACAAATACAGGGCGCAACGGCATGTCACAAATTTGGTACTCATCAGAAGTTGCTGGAACAATTATGGTGCAATGCATACCCATTCTCCGCCCCATCCTCAAAAAGTTCCACACATCATACACCTCCCGCCGTCTCGATTCCCAAACCGGCGAACGCAAAGGCTCCGGCTGGACCTGGACACGCAGCAGCAAGCACATCTCTACCGGCCCCCTAACACCCGGTCATCCCCCCATTCTAAACAACAACCCCGACGGCATGGAACTACGCAATATTCCCGAGGAGCAAGAACCAGCAGAGTTCGACTTCTGGGGCAAGAATGATCCACCTTCACCAGATGATCTCGAAGATGGAAGACCTGATATCAAGTACAGGTTCAACAGGGAGGAGATGAAGTTCACAAGAGATGATAGCTGGCCCCTTGGAGGTGAAAGCGAGAGTGCAAAGAGTGCGAGAAGCATCGAGTTGGCGCACTCGAATATGGGATTAGCTGTTGAACACGAGGCTGCACAGCAGGGACTGTCACCACCACCGCCTCGAAGGACATGAGAGAGGCTCATACTGAATTTCACTTGTTTGTATAATAATAGGGTTAGAACATTACTTAGACACGACGTTATGTACATATCTTTTGTCACTCCTGTTTCATACCTGTATGCCAATGGTGATTGCTGTATAAAGTTCATAAAACACATTATCGACAGGACCATCATGCGCAATTCTGATACGGGATCTGGACCACTCATCCTGCCATGTAATCCGAAGAATTCTCGTCACCTGGGCCGGGGAGAAAAAGCAATTATTCTATGTCTAAAACTCGGATAGCATCTATCCGCTCACACCGCTGTTATAGCAAATCTACTGTCATTATGCTCTCGTCCACCTCTTCTATCATTCCTCACATGCAAGGCGTATCCATCTGCGGTGCATCTTACAACCTTGAATGCTCTTGCATCGGCATAACCGACGCTGTTTCCAGATATCTGATATCCGGCAGTCCCTGGTCAACCCAGCCAACCATAGTCTTCTCATACAACCGCCGTTGCTCCTCTGCCGAGGGAGCGGGACCCTCCATGCCGCGGGCCAATCTGCTCTCCTCAGTCTCAACAAGCCAAGCATTCTCGTCCCACTCGTCGTTTTGAAACACATATCGCCTTGTCTCGCAGTTCTTCCAACCTGTACCGCATCCAGTGGTGCTGTTCTCCCAGTCGTTGCTGAAATAGTGCATGAAGCTTCCGTGGGCAACTAGAGCAATGTGAATATCCTCGTTGGGGTCTTGACTCAAAGCCATGCCCTTTTCTCTGAGTATTCTTCTCACTGTGCGAGCACGTGCTGCGCAGGCACCTGTGACGGGACTATTTGGCCCATAAAGGTTCTTATCGTTCCAACCCTCAGGCACCATACTCAGGTCAACGGGCCAATCATTCCGCAACGTCATCTCCTTGAGAAGAGCAGGATCTGTTCCGATATCGCAGCCGTGATCAGAAATTTCCTGTGCTTCCGGGATAGCAAGAATGTCCTGTGTCTGGATGGCCTCATCAAAGATTAGACTCGTCGTATGCAGGGTTCGCATCATGGGCGATGATGCGATGAGTTTGAACTTGGACTGATCCTGAAACGAGGCCTTTCGTCGTTCGATGCATTGTTGTTGGCCAAATGGCGTTAGTGCGGGGTCCCTCAGGTGAAAGAACTCTTCACCCAGGTTGTGATAGCCCTGGGCGTGCCGGACAGCGTGGATGATGATTTTGCCTGACATTTTGGCGTATATGTATATGACTCTGTGGAGAGGATATGTAGAGGAGATCAGAGCCACGGGATATCCATTTTTTTATATCCAGAAGATACCTTGGTCAACAAGTGACATCAATGTTTTCGGCATTATTCATCGTGTAAAAATTCTTGACTTGGATGCCCCATCGAGGCGCGTCAAGACTTTGTTAGTGCGTAACCCGTTTTGGCAATTGAACACGAAAGATCTGCAAACGTGGCAGATCTGCTCAACGTCACAGGCCGTAAGATTTTAACGCACCAATTGATAAGCTGGCTACGGCGCTTCAATTATTGCCACATTGTGATTTCATGGCCAGCCTGTAACTCTGTTTCAGGGGGTACCGACGAAGCCTGTGCTATGGCTTGCGTTCTTGAGCCACTGAGAATTAACTTTGAGAAGGACAAGTGCTTGGATATAGCTTGGGCAATGGCTAGAAAACATTTTAAAGGGATTCTTGTCACCCTTGACAAACGGGAAACGTGCAACGGAGACATTCATCGGCGGTTGACATCAAGCGCTTCTCAATTGGTGTTACTCTACGGCATCCAACTCCCGAGCATCGCGCTCGAGCTTCCATTTTTGTAAATACACACGGCACATCTGACTTCTCTCTGCGGGGAAAGACTGCATCACGTTGGGGTACTTCAGGTGAGTCCACGTAAAAAGAATCCATAACGTGGGCGAGCGATTGGTGAGGAGCGCGCACCGACGGGACGGCACGACTCCGATAAACGGGAAGCTATGGCCACGTCACAAGCGTTATCGGTGCCTATTCATAGCAACATGAAGCTATCACTCATACTTCCCAGTGCAGTCTGATGCCATTTGATGTTAGCACCCTCTCTCTTCCGTAACGCCCAGAGCTCTTTTACTAGGTGCGTCATTTGTGACCAGATCGCTAGCTCTGATCTCTCCTCGAAAAATGCGAGAGTATGAAGCATTCGCTGCTGCATTCCCTTGTCGCCTGTCTCAAATGCTACGATAGCAACGGGCCAGATCATTGGTGAAAACCGTTGACTTGTACATGTAGATAGAGCTTCAATATGGGTGAGTGATTTCTCAACAAGCGGACGCACCGTATCCATTGGCATTTCCTTCAAATTGCGTTTCATGTGAATTAGAGCGGCATAGTAGAAGATGCAGCCGTGATGATATATCAGATCGGCATAGTCTTTTGCCGTTGCCGTCTCTGGTCTATTAGGTACCGATAGATAAAGTTCCATCTCCAATCGGTCCAGCTCATCTGGGGAAGGATCACTCTCAGTAGAAGACCGTTTCCGCATTTGAAGGGCATTCATCGCGCGGAGACCTTCATATACTGGCTGAGGAAGACCAAACGACTCATACAGCGTATACGGCTCAGGCTGCGGTCCAAAGTCGTTGGTAAATTTCCAGTATGAGGTCTCTTGGGGGTCAAAAAGTAACTGCGCTTGTACGACAGTGGCCATACTCCGAAACATCTGGTATAGACCTGAGGCTGCGTCACTTTTGTGCCAAACCTGCGGATCAATATGATTGACCCATTCAACAGCGCCACGGAAGTGTAGCCGCCAAAATGTCGTCGGCAGCGTCACAGCCTCATTGTAGATACAGCAGATGATGGATGCTAACAGCGATACACAATCAGCACCATTTTTGGAAAGTTGGATGTTTTTGGCCAGATGAGTAATGCCGATATTGTGGTGTTCTAACGCAACGTTCTCAAGAGAGCCTTTCGATTCTTCACATTCTCTCTTCTTTGCGAGATGGAATGCTGACGCCGAACAGATGAAATGAAACAATGCCGTGGCGCCTGTTGACTTTTCCGAGTCCGTGCGGCTGCCTTCCAGAGCAATGGGAATCATTGCGCTCCGCAAGGGGTTCAAGTGGCCAGGTACTGGGTTCAAGGAGTCACAAAGACTTAGCGTCCAGTGCTGCAGAAGCTCGCAGTGAAGAGCCGGATCAGGAAGAATATCGAGGTGACGTGTGATCTTGCGTCTCTGGCCTGAGGTATCGAGTGGAGACGATGTGTGAGAGATGAGCTCTGATACTCCAGGTAAAGGCAGAGAGCCTGTGCTGACATCGCCGAGGCTTACAGGCGTTGACGTGCTTTGGGTATTGATGTCGTCTTGAGGAATGGAGTTCTGGTCGAACAGTTGCAGCATGGGAAGCTGAGGTTGCGCAGGCTGAAGGGAGGCATATGGAGGACCCGTTGTCAAGCCTTGGCCTAGAAGCTCATACGAATGGAATATCCGGGTGTTCAAATGACCAGTGAAAGGACCTTGGTCGAGAGGAAAGTGTTGATCGAGAAAGAATTGCGTATTGTTCGACTGGTCTTCTGACGGCAGATCAGAAGGTCCCTCATTTGGAGGACCGTCACCATTGTCACTCTCTGGGCCATTAGACGAATGGCCATCTTGCTCAGAGAGACTCTCCCCAATGGACTCCAAGTCTCTTGACTGGCGCAGTCTCGCAGCAGCTTTTCTCTTCCTCCCTCTTCTAAAGGTCGTCGGATTCCTCACCGAAGCCCACGATATCCTGACTCCATATCCCTCGCACTCAATACCGGCCTTTTGACAGCGATTGCATTCGGGCTTGGCTTCGTCACATTTCACATGCTTGGCACGACAAGTCCAACAGCCCGAGAAGCTCTTTGTCCGGGGTTTGCGGGGATGGCCCGAAGCTGTTCTCCCGGGAGAACGGGGCGGATCATCCGACATGACTGAGGTCTATCAGATCATGCCGATGCGTAGGTAACGCTATTATGGAATGCGGTGATGAAGGGGTGAGGTTGAGTGATGAAGTGCCCAGAATTGGCTTGTTAACGCGAAGCTGAGATCACGTCGTGGTTGTGAGCCTGTTTGGGAATAGCGTATCGGGTGCGTGACCTGGGGTCGCTCCACTGGCGACGAAGAATGGGTGTGGAAACGAAATGGCAAATTTTGTCTATCACAATTCATCAATTAAGGCGCCATATATGACCAGTACTGCGGAAGGCAGCCCGACTCTCCTTTTGGCTGAATGGCTGTCCGGTGAAGGGCGTGGTCGGAGGATTCACTCAGCTTGATCCCGAATGTACCTGGTATTGCGCCCCCGACGGGAAAGACTCTGCCTCCAGTGTACCTCGAATGCTGAGACTCCAACAAGCAAAAGTGATAGACCCTAATACAATATAAATTTAGTAGGCCAAGCCCCATTACTGCACAAATTCCATAGTACAAATGAATGCTTAATTCCGCTGTGTTTGCTGATTGCTTGGATCGAAGCATCGAGACCTGCCGAACTCCGCGGTCGATCTCTTGACCTGGAGATGTCGGTATGAATTACCGCATAAGGCTTAGTGTTTGTGCCAAGCTCACATCGAATCATCACGAAAGTGAGTGAAAGCTCTTCTCGGCAATTCGAACCGGGCATTGACTGAACTGTTTGTTGGTGGATCTCTGTCACCATGACCGAATTATTCGTTTACAATAAATCGTATGAGGCATCCTCAATTTTTAATTCTTCTTACCATTCTCTCTCAAGCATTCATAATCGACGTCCAGCATTAATCATCTGTCCTGTTCTTCATTTCTCACTCCCGAGATATTCTTTACCTGCAGACCCCGGATTATCAGCAACTACCGACATCACATCATGACAGGCCTATCCCAGTTGATCAGGCCACAGTCACTGACTCCTCCACTATTCAAGAAGAGATCGCAGAAATCACCAAACCGGCCTCCTGGATCTCTTAAATGCCAAATTGACACCTCGCCGATCGTCATTGTCAATGACGATGCTACCGATGGCTCTACTATCTCGGGCTCCCTACTTTTCAACATTGACGAAACCATCGAAGTTGATAGCCTCTTTGCCACATTACGAGTACACTTAGTTCACAAGAAGCCTTTCAAGAGGACATGCAAAGCATGTAAACATCAGATATCGGAGCTCAAGCGCTGCCAGTTCATCACAACGACAACCTCATTAGACCGCAACAGTTATACGTATCCGTTCTCTTACCGAGTACCTAGTTATGTACCCCCTTCTATGGACACGTCGCTAGTTTCTGTCGCATACGAATTCCAAGCTGTAGCCTCCATACGGCGTATAGGATCACAGCCGCAACTGCCAGAGATCATCACACTCAACCGCACTCTCCCTGTCGCTAGATCAATACCAGTGCCTAGCAAACCTTTGTTATCAACTCGGATATACCAAGCTGCTGGCATCGAAGTCGACTGCAGTTTAGATCCTGTCCTTGACCCCAGTGGCAAGAATTACGTGACGCTCACTATGAGCGGGCTTCGAAGCTGTCCTGACAACGGAGAGGACATTCAGTTCTGGCGTGTATGTAAAGGCACTTGGATGCTTCAGGAGAACATCAAGAGCACAGCCGTGGCTTGTTCGCAGCACGCACAAGAATACCAAACAGATGAAAAGAGCAATACACAGAAGAAGACAATTACTCTTGGCGAATCTTCGTTCTATGACGGGTGGACCACGGACGATGCTACAGGGGCGCTCAACATGGAGTTTCCCTTCTTTATCAAGAAAGCCTCTAGGTACACTCAAGATACCGGCGATGTCGGCGACACATCAGTCACCCATTCGCTGGTGCTAGAACTCCAGCTCATGAAGGAAACTTATCCCAAAGGCAACCCGGATTTATCTGTCAGAAGTGGAGTAGGCCGGATTCTTCGATCCGAGCATCGGGCCGTGCTGAGCGACTATGCCAGGCCTTCGGATCACGTTGAAGAGGAGAGTTTGCCCTGCTATAATGATCTCCGGCCTGGACCGCCACTGTACCAGGAGAAAGATTATGAGTAGTCAGTGGTATAGGAGAGGATGATGCTAATCAGATATTGAGAATGGGGCGAAAGGTAATCGAGGGTTTCGTGGCTTGAGCGTAATGATACCCATTTATTTACTAATATACTGTCAATTCTTTGCAAATGTTTAATGCAATTATAGTAGCGCTAAAGCAATTACATGTAAGATCGGCGATTTCTTCTTGGGGACAGTCAGACTTTTGTGGGATGGTAGCCTAACCCCCATTTCACCGCTAATCATTGCTGGCAGACTCACGCCTCTTCACCTTTTGACTCTACAAACCAAAGCAATGACTTCTCCGGAGCGACGAAAGTCTACAGGCTGGGCAGCACCATACAAAGTCCTCATTGAAAAGCCCAGCTATGGCGAATTCAAGGACCATGCAGGTCGTCATTACGATGTTGTTGCGGATCGAGCTGGTCCCAACGCGGCTATCGTGAAACTCAGCATTCAGTTGTACTGCTTGGGTGAGCCAAAGTTCGATCCCCACGGTATGGGTTCCTCTCTGTTGAATTCCGATGCTGTCGTGGGCTGGGGCAATGCTCGTAACCATTGGCCGCGCATTGATGTATACACGGGATTTGACACCGTGGAAGAATGTATAGAGCATCACCGTCGCGAGAAAGCCTTCCGCAAAGAGGCGATCAAGAAGATGAAGGATGACGCGGTGACAGGATTATCGGAAGCCGAGGCAAAAGAAAAGTTGGCTACAAAGATACAAGGAAAAGAACCTCTTCCGCATATCGTGCCGTCTTGGTGTGAATCGGCCAGATTCGTTGAGAATAGATGGTGGGTTGGAGATCGTTACAGGAGCTGGATTTTGGTCATACCAGCTGAAAGATCCTCCTGGGAAGACGTTATAGACCATGGGCTGCTGCAAGTCAATTTTGACTTGGACTTATCTCCCGCATTGCTTGTCTCCGAGTCGCAGCTGTTTATAAATACTCCAGAAGGAGAAGACGGTTGGGTTCTTGTGGAGAAGACTGGCCTCGAAAACCTCAAACCTGTTGATATTCTACACATTTGTGCCAGAGAAGAACGCGGAGCATCGGAGAGCACCCCAGGAAGCGACAAGACACTCTTTAATGCTTGGTATGATGCGACAACGCAGCTTCGGGGTTGCACTTATATGCCGACAGGATGCGAGGGCTGTCGTGCCAATGAGCCGCATGATGACTGTGAGCAGGAGATGGACGAGCACTTTAATGATGAGTACGGGCAATGTTTGGCTTGTAGAAGGGCGGAAGAGGAAGAAGAACGGCGGAGAAAGCAGCAGAATGAGCAGCCTACCGTAAATAATGTTGGCTTATGAAGCTACGCTTACCAGTCAGTTCGGCGTTCGCCAAGACACCGAGATGCCACCCTTTTACTAAGGCATCTATTTACATATCTATATACTCGAAGCTAAGAAAATCCAACTCAGGATTTGTCGGATTTAACGGATGTTTCTCAAGATTCTGAATCCTTCTCATCGCACAGATGACGTCAGCAATGCTTACGGTGAGAAATAAATAAAGGGCACCGACTCCCAGCTTACAACCTCTTATCCTCTCGCCTCTAAAATCTCAAGATCATTATGGCAGATCAGGCTACTCCTCATTTCGAGTTCATCCGCTTGGAAACCAAGCCAAGTGCGCAGCTCTCCTACAGCTTCACTGCTCCAACCGCGACGAAGCCGACCAACCCGACTCTCATTGTCTTCGTCAATGGCCTCGGCGCACCGCAGGCAGGATGGATTGCAACAATGAACAAACTCAAGGAACTTTCTCCTCAGGGGCTTCCGGCAATGTTGACCTTTGATCGCTTCGGACAGGGTCAGACTACTGATCGTGATCCCAACGATGAAGGAGCCGCTGATCCAACTCATGCTCATGACTGCATGGCTGTAGTTCGAGATATTCGACAGCTCATCACACAGATCTTGAAAGAGAGGCTGGGTATTGATGATCCAGATAGCGCCAAGCTTTTACTGGTTGCAAACTCCATTGGATGTGCTCTGACTCGTCTCTACGCCGCTGAGTATCCTGGTACCGTGGCGGGAGCCATTCTCCTCGACAGCGTCTTGACAGATACGGACTTTGTCTCCGTCTTCCCTGACCCAGACGCTGAGGATTTCGACCCCACCACTCTTCCGCCAGGCGTCACAGCAGACAATCTTCGTGTTGCCCGAGAGGAGACCGCAAAGCGCTTTCATCCAAGTGTTGGCTCTAGAGAAGGTCTTAGTCGAAAGAACCTTACTCAACTTCTTGGTCACTCAGGCTCCCCAGCTCTTCCCAAAGTCAATGGCAGAGACCCTTACATTACTGTTCTAGGCCATGACTTCAACTACTTTGCAGAGCGTACGGGCACAGACTTCAACATTCCTGGAGAGGCGGTACAAGCTTACATGAATACTTACTGGCATCATTACAATGAGGGGTTGGCGAAGTTGACGGGCTCAGAGAGAAGCGAGGGACCTATTCAGGTGCCAAATGCAGGCCATTTTATTCAACTTGATAATCCGGGGTTCGTGGCTGAGAAGTTGCACAACTTGGTTTGGTGCAGAAATTGGCCGAGGAATAAGCCGAGGTCTTCTAACTATAAATACTGAGTCTATCTGAAAGCATTGATTTTGGTTGTCTATCTAGTGTGTGAATGCGTACTTGCTCTTCGCCCTTATCTTGTGTCCATAAAAGTACAGCACGTAGGGAATCGCTGCCAATACCACCGAGAAACATGCCATGATGGTCAATGTGTAATGGGTTCCCATGTTCTCGTAAAACGGAATGCCCACCACCGTCATTCCTCCAGCGATCATATAACGCGTCAAAGACACGAATGTCAGCGCTGACGCCGAGTATATCTCGTAAGAGTCGATAATATACATGTAAACGCAGATAAAGATGCCCGTGACTCCGTATCCGAACAGAACAACAGCAAAGATGGCGGACCAGATACTGATGCTAGAGTAATTTGTCCAGCCGAGCCAAAAGAGCGAGATGGGGATCGCGGCAGCTGCGCCGAGCATGGCGTACCAGAGACGTATCTCCGGTTTGAAGTGGCCGTCTCCCTGGTTCTGGGTCGCTCGCAATGTCCTGCGGTAGACGATAGGGACGAAAGCGAAGTTGATCTGCGTTCCAAGAAACATGGCGATGAAGATAATGTTGGCGAGTCCCTGATCGACACCATACGTCTTCTCAAAGATATACGGCCAACCAGCAAGGAAAGTGAACAGTACGATGTAAAGAACACTGATGTACAGTGTCATGGCGATGATTATGGGTTCAGTCAGCATCAGAAAGGGGCGCGTCATGCTGACCTTCAACCTGCTGAAGAGGCTAGCACCAGCAATTTCATGCTGGCATCGAAACCGGTCGTCTCCCGTGATCCTTCGATAATGAGCAGCTTTCCACTGCAAGAGAAGCGGACCGTAAGTCTCAGGCATGAAAAGCAGAACTAGTACAAGGACAAGTCCTGATGCGATGAGCATGGTCCACTCAGTCCATCGCCAGCTCACAGCGCTTGACGGCCCGATATAAGCGCCCATGACAGCACCCAGCATTGGACCGCCAAAGCCAGCGACGGCATACAGAGGAAAGGTCCAGGTCTTTTCGAGACTGTTGTACATGTCAGCTATAGAACCTCCAGAGCAAACGAGTGGCGTTGAAGCTGAGCAGCCAGCCAGGAAGCGGAAGGTGATCTGGGCGCCAAAGTTGGGCGCAAGTGCCGATGCCATGATCCAAATCATGAAGATTGCCATGGAGAAGCTGTAAACTGCGTTTCTGCCGAAGGTCTCGGAGAAGGGACCTGCTATCAGCGATCCGAGACCCATTCCAACCAAATAAAGGCCTGGAAATGTGAGCTTCTGTTGGGCACTGAGAGAGGACCAAACATACCTGTCGCGAGCGATTCAGCAACTTCGCTGACTCCAAGAGACTCTGCCGCCTGAGGAAGAACAGTCGCATCAATACCGGAGGCTGCTCCGACAAAAAGAGCAATGATGGAGATCTGCAGAGTCACGCCAATCCGTCTTCCGATAGACCAGTTGTGAGGATCAAGAGGATCTTCAGGGCCCTCCCAGTTGACCACGAAGACTTTTCCATCCTGGCCTTTGTCGTTCTTGTGATCCTGGACATTAATTCCTGTGAGGACCTGGCCCAAAGCGATACCCCCAGACATGCATTGTCGAATGGTTTGAGCCGTCACAGTCTGCTGCAGCGACCGCTCGGGTATCTCATCGCTGGAAGCATAAGTATCGGCTTCCGTGATTGGGGGTAACCGTCCAGCATTCGGCTCATCCTTTTCATGCAATGACTTTCGACCAGCTTCAACATCGTGTCCAGCATTCGGCGCCGTATGCTGTCTCGCCTTGCCGATGTCGCGATCAATCTGCGCCTGAGCCGCAGCACCAGCCCTTCGATACTGCAAAAGCGACTGCATCTTTCTCTGCCCAAAAAAAAGTATGAGGGAGGCAACTTTGCCTTTAAAAATTACATTTTTGGCGAGATTTGTCACGGAGATAACGTTAGCGGGCCGAATAGTCTAACGAATTCCCACATTTCAACGGTAGCTGGGCTTCGAGTGCGTCATACGTTACCAATGACAATTTGGTGATAAGAAGAAATGGAGTCGTCGCGGGCAGATCTTTCCGACTGAAGATCCGGAAGTAGATCGGAAATACGACTGATCTGATGAGACCCGTTTCTCAGACAGAAACCCGTTCTCGCTCAATTGAATTGGCCGTCGATTACCGAGGTCGTATTGGAAATCATTGGCGATATCAGTTTTTTCGCACAACGTTAACAAGCAGACATGGCTTCGAGAACACTGTCGGGGAAGTGTCGAGTAATTTCCGGTGACTGAGACAGGGAATGAAGATTCTGGGGTGAAGCAAATCCTGCAGCCTTGGCGGGCCATCCTTGGAGAGAATTGTTATGTTTTAGAGACAACATGGTACAGAACGTCCCGTAGATGAATGCATTGTCAAATATTGACGGGCGCTCACGTTCTATTACTGGGGATATATTACTCAACTCTATAAAAAATTTTCTTCCAGGAATAAGACGAAGTCGAGTCTGAACAGCGAAACACGAAATTCCACCGGACAGAATGCTCGGTTCAGGGTAAAACCTCATGTCACCAAGTTTGCAGCGGGGGTTAAATTAATATTGGGGAAGCCACTCTCTCTCCGCATCACATCAGGCGTTTCAACGCAAACTGTCAAATCGGGATTTAAAATAACACAGACCAAGAGGCACAGTCTCTTCAATTGAAACAAATTGAGTCAGTTCGGTTCGACATTGGGAAATAACGCCCTGTCGCACGACCTCAAACTCTTCAGCGGGTAACGTATCCCACCAAGCCACCCGGTGTCAGCATTCACTCCGGACCAACAGAAAGCCACTCACTGCCAGGGATTAAGGACAAAAGACGAAGGATTCCAGGCTAGACAAGGGAAAAAGGTTTCCACGCGCAGGATGCAACGCACACTTCAGCGAGGCACAGCGCATAACAACGGTGGAGAAATGCAAATCCGCGTACTCTCGTGAGCTGCTGGCAAATAGCAACCAACAGTGGCTGAACACCTCCAGTTAGCGGCCGGGTCTGCTGCTCGCTTTCGTTTCCCCTGCCTTTGTAGCGCTTCAATCAGCAACTTTGCCAAAACAACCTCTTCCCTGATCATGCATCCAATCTTCATCTGGTCTTCTCTTCGCCTCTGCGGACCCGAAGGTTGTCACCACCACCAGCTGAGTGAGTGCGGAGGGATCCTCAACTAAATATCTCATCAAAGTCGACTGAAACATGCAGACAAACAGCCCAGCTTATTCTGTCACTTTCCCCCCAAATGCTCCCCCGAAAATGGACGGATCAATCAGTCCACTCTGGGGTACCCCCCCTTCGCCTAGCGTGATCACCAACACTCACACTCCAGATCGGTCTACCCCGGAATCCCTCCACGGGGTAAAGAGGCCCGTTGTGACATGGCAGTCCGATATTAAGCTTAGCCGCCCCTCGTTTGTGTCGTGCCCTTTCCCTTTTGTTTTGTTTTGCAAGGTTTCCCCGACTTACCATGGTTACTTTCGACTCGACGACGATCGCACGTTCAATATGGTCGACCCCGTCTATTACGAGCTGAGCTGGTCGATCCTCAGCACGATCGGGATCGCTAATGTTTTGTTTGGTCTTATGGTCGCTGGCATTACGAGCTTTGGTCCTGTTTCTATCGTTCCCATCGTCACGTCTGCTGCTGGCGCTATAGCCAACGGGCTTTGCTACTATGCTTTTTATGAAGAGGGTAACTCTGTTACGACCAAGGCTGTAGCTTCTGTGTTTGCTGATGTTTTGTGGCTGGTACGTTCCCAAGTGCTTCATACTATTCGCTTCGAGCTAATGTATTGCTGTCGCAGGTTCAAGAGGCTGGCCTTTCGTTCTACAGTTATATCATCCTAAGTCGAGTCTTACGCGGTCGCCAATGGGTTATCTTCGCCACCGGATTCTGGTTCATGATCATCTCTGTCTCCGGTATTCGCGTCGTAATTGCAGCTGTCAGAGCCCGACGAATAATGAACGCCCTCGACACCGATCAATCATTGATCAACCACCTCCATATGGGATACTTCATCATCATTGCCCTGTTGGAATGCCTCAGCTCTTTCTTCCTCCTTCGAGTCTTCAGCTCAGCGAAATCGACGTCCCTTAGCGCTGCCATCAAGGCTGGTCTGTTCAGATACTTGATGCGGAGTACTGAGGTCCGACTGGCACTTCTTGCAGTGCTGGGCATCATACGGGCCATCACATATTCCTTCCAGAATGCTGAACAAAGCGCGACGAATCTTGCTTCACAGATCGATCGGTTTGCGTACAGTATGGAATGCATGTTCCCAGTAATGATGATGTAGGTTCACCTTGTTCGTTTCAGTCCACCACGCTAACAAGCTCAGCATCGACATCTTAGCATCAAAGGTCGTTTTTCACAACCAAGTCTACGGTTCATCAGGCCAAAGCCGACACCAGCCTGGTGGCTATCCACATCGGCAGTTCGCGAATGGCCGTGGCGGCGACATTATCCTTACAACACAGCAAGGTGAGAACATTGTTGAGGTTCGGGGAGGAGAGTCCACTGGCGACAGGGCAAGCTCACAAGAGCGCATCATTAGTCGCAGGGACCACAGAAACCCTTCTTCAGATATTGATCTTGATGAGATGGACACGAAACAGATCGGCATTAGTAAGACCGTCGCGTTTGAGGTACACAGTTCAGGTGATGTTGAGCGGTAGAAGCCCCAAATATCAGGCCGTGCATATTAGTTCCGCGGTGTTGTATAATCTAATTCTATGTATGGTACTTATGAGAAATGCCCGCCTATTTCATTTACGCCAACCACTATCAGTCGCATGCCTGTTCGTGTCTCACCTGACTGCCAGCGTCCACATAGCAGCTCTTCTGAGTAAGCGCTTCTCCGAACTACCCAGAATAGAGATTGCACGGAGATTGGCGAGCTGTATAACCCTGTAAATGAGTGAGTTGAGAACAGCCAAACTTCCCCATATTACTGACCTTACTGTCATTCTGATTGACTGAAGATATGCTCATACCAGAGTCGCAGCGTCCACAGTGCTGCTAGAGCATCCTTGATGTCTTGTTGTAATGGAACTTGAACGACGAGCTTGTGGTCGCCCTCCTGCCCTGATTCATATGCAATAATCTGTCCATCTGCATCTATCCACTGATAAGGGCTGCCTTTCAGTTTTGGCCTCATCTCGAACAATAATTGTTGAGTATTAGCTTTGAAGAGTTGGACATCGTCTGCTGATCTGTCGGCGTTGAGCATCGCTTTGAAACCCAGACATTGTGAATGAATATCGTAGACGTCGACCTGGATATTTCCCAAGGCCTTAGGCGATGGAGCGGTGAGATAGCATGCTGGTGTATCGTGCCGACGTTGCAGCATGAGAAGCGAGTTCACAAGGTAATAAAGATCATGAGGCCGCTGCCGTATTCTTGAGCCTTTTCCATCTGGGTGGGATGTCTCGACAACCTCGATCTGTTCGAATATTATGCTGCAATGCTTCTGAACTTTGCAGGCTATATTGCGGCTAAGTCGGTAAAGAGGTATTGACGGTTCATTTTCCAGTGTTATTTGTTGCCCATCGAATACCAAAGTGGTAGGAACCGAGGTCTTCTGAGCAAGGGATGCCTGGTCTTGAGGGGTTGAGTCGGGGCCCATCTTTGGATGTCAGTGGCGAAATGCGGATAAATCCAAGTTGGCGACAAATTCGCTTCATTGGTTATTGACTCATCGCGGGCTGCTCCACGTGACGCCGAGTGACAGTGGAGTTGTTAGACGGATACAATCAGAGAAAATTTCCTGTTTTATTTTTGCTATTCTCGTAATTTGTTAAAGCGTTTTAGAATTAAATGGGATCTATAGTTATTTGTATTTATTGTTGCCCAAATGAGACCTCAGCCCAAACCGACTTGAACTCATTCAACAGCCGAGTATCAGGTGCGAAAATGCCTGCGAGAGTCTCCATCGCGACATCCTGGCCCCCGATTCTCATGGAGCTTACAACCTCTCGTAATCTTATAACATACCAAGACCGAACCTCACTCGCAGGTTCTGCAGCAGCTGCACCAACGAATAACTGCCAAACCAAGAGTTGCATCGAGGAACAGAGCCTGATATGGGGCTGTAGCAGCGCATACTTCAAGTTCTCAGCCTTGATATCCAACGACCTTCGCCCTTCTATAGGCCATAGCAGTGACAGAAACAGCTGCAGGGAATCGTGCAGAGAGCGGATGTAATGTTCTTGGCTTCCCAACAGTGTATCCACTTTCAGTTGTAGGCGATGAACCTCATACCTAATGATAGCTGCCTTATCTTGTCTTAGCGTCGTGGAAGTGTGATATTTGTCTATTAGTTGACGTAAGTCTTCGATATCGGATCGAATTGCTGCAACATCCATTTGCTTGGGGTCCTCTTCGTTCCGCAATGCGTTGATGAGAGGTAAATTGGAATAGCTGGCTGAAAGAATCGTGTGGCCAATTGAATCACTGGCAACAGTTAGTGAAAGAATATCATGGAAATTTAGTTTACTGTTAGGCATACTATAGGATAAAATCGCCGAACCACGATGGGATGTCCGTGTTTCCTAAGGACCGTCTAACTTTGATCATTTGGGCCAGACCTTGGATATGGACGTCTCTTGCTTCGACATCACTCTCAAGAAGCTGAATTGCGATGTCAGAGAGTTATGTTATGATTTTAGGACTTTTACTCACCTCTGCAAAGGTCAAAGTGAAGACGGCACTGAGCACGCCGTCGGTCAATCCCAGAGGCGTGTCCAACCGTTCGTTGATCATCTTGATAGCCCTTCCTTTACGCACGGACGCTTCGCGAATACCTTGAGTCCTCTGGAGCCGGGGCGAATGTCTTATGGCTATGGACATGGATGCTTCGACTAGGGCTGGTTCAGAGTGCAGTAGGGCGATCCAGTCTGCTTCTCTGTTTGATCCGGGAGAACCGAGACCGGCGGGGAAGATAAGCGCGCGGTATTCACCAAGCACTGCAGGCGAGATTAGCCGCTGCATCCAAGAGTGTTTATAAGCATCTTACAATATTCGACAGGGCAGTATGCAGGCTCTACCATGCGGCTGAGCAAACTATGAGCTATTGGCTTGAGCTCATGCCGCAACTGCCGCTCGTCCAATGTAATCAAGGCAGAAGATGGACTTGGAGATTGAGCGGTGTTTGCTTTCTTCTTCTGTTGGCCGAGCCTTTGTCTCCTCTTGGCAAAGTTTGTCTTGGTAATATGACCTCTCATCTGCTTGGCCTCTTTGGGGCCCAGACCAGGGGCGTTGCTGACATTGACAAAGGTGAACGATGGTGCCATACTTATTCGTCTGGCATTGAACGGATAACTACAGCGAGGCCTCTTGCCGGATTTAGGTATGAAAGAGGAAAATGAGATGGAATGGTCTGGGATATGCCACAATGACTTGCGAAGATGACGGATGATCATGGTCAAGCGATGGGCCCAGTTTATACCCTTTTAGGAAAATGAGATTGATTGGTAGACCAAGGATTTTGTGCTGTGATATCGGACCGGTGAGGTGAACTAACCTCAATGGGAAAACAAGATCAAAGGTATGAGCTTCAATCAGTTGATTGATAATCCGAACCGGTGGCATCAAGGACCACGAAAGCCACGGTCTTTCCAGAAAAGGAAATTGAGTTCGAAATGGGACTATTGAATGCTCTCTTTAGCGACTGTGAATATCGAGTGTTCCTCAGTATATAAACGACATGGAAAGCATCCTCCATGGTATACCTAGAAGCTCATCATCACACTCCAAAAAAACGATTCTTAGATAATAAAACTAGACGGTATGATTCTCAGATGGAGGTTTTTGAAGAGGCTAAACAGAAACAGAACCAAACGGCTCATCATCAACATGTCTCGCTTCTCTCCCCAACTTACTGGCGCCCATGCCCTCATCACCGGCGGCACCAAGGGCATTGGCAGGGTCATCGCTGAGACTCTACTGACCGAAGGTGTCAGTGTCTCTTATTGCTCTCGTAACGTTCGAGGCGACGAGTTTGCAAACTTTAAGGACGCCATTGGCGATGCACGAGCTGTTGGAAGCAGCGTTGATATTTCCAATGCCGCTTCGATCCAAGGCTGGGTTGAAGCTTCAGCTAAGGAGTTTGGAAGGATTGACCTCGTTGTTGCCAATGGTATTTGTGTTGAATGGATTGTGTTATAATCCTGCTGATAGTGAAATAGCTTGTCCTAAGTATGTCAGCCCAAGCATTGATGACTGGGAAAACAGCTTCCATGCCGATGTTCTTGGTCTCATAAACCTGATCAACGCTTCGGAGCCTCATCTTGAGAAGCGAAACGGCACAGGCTCGATTATCGTCATCAGTTCACTTGCTGGCTTTGAAGCTAGACATCCAGCAATCCGGGGGCCATACACCACGCTCAAGCGTGCCCAGGCCACCCTGGCCAAAGATTTTGGACGATGGCTTGGACCTAAGGGTATCAGGATCAACACGATCGTCCCTGGCACCATCGACTCTCCTCCTGTTGACAAGCCGGATGGAACGGTGGAGTTGAGCCAGTTTCAGCAAATCATGACCGCCAACCCTGACTTCCTCAAGAGTCTTATCGACTCTATTCCGCTTGGAAAGGTCGGACAGGCGCAGGATATTGCTAATGCAGTTGTCTTCCTGGGAAGCAGCCTTGGCAAGTATGTCAATGGAGTGAACTTGATTGTCGATGGTGGAATGTCTACTGCCCTCTAGGGCTCTAGCCTGTTGAGTAGGACAATACTGGGCTTAAGTAGATAGGCTTTGAGGAATGAAACTTGGTTTCAGGTAGAAATACAGTCTATAGTCTATTAAGAATACATAGTGCTCCATGAGCTGCTCTTCTATGAGTAAAGTAAACGGAACTCTAAAATAGCAACGAACCTCCACTTCCCCTTTTTACTTTATCTCTTGTCTAAAACTCACACGACCGTCCCATCATTAGGGTCCTGCTCTGCTCCTTCTCTCCACACGACGATGACAATGCAGCCAACTGCCAGAGAGCAGATCAAAGCCAAGATGGACATCCACCAACCAAAGCCAATACTTGCGGTAGCAATCGGAGACACTACAGTGCCAATCGCAGCAAGAAGGTTACGAACCAAGTTGAGATCAGCGACGACTGAAGCACCGACCCCGGGCTTGATATCAACAAGGAAAGGCATAACAGTTGACGTAACAAGCATGAGACCAAGGCCGAACAAGAAAGCTCCAACAAGAGGAGCAATCCAAAATACCTTTTTCTCAATCAACCATCCGTAAATGATCAATCCAACCGGGATAAAGCCAACGCCGTACCAAACTGTCTTGATCCTCTCGATGGGGTGGATGGCACCATCATGAGTCGTCTGGTACTGACGCAACTTGGCATCACTCAATTTCCCTCCGACGACACTTCCGATGGCGTATCCGAGACAATTGCTGATATAGCAAAGACCAATTTCGATGGCTGAGAAGTTGTAAGGTGCAGCGGCGTAAGCGTACGGAAGTGTCGTGTTGAAGCAGTAGAGGCTTGCAAAGCATATGCTCACATAGGCAATAGTAAGAGCAATGGAAGGGACGATCAAAAACTTCAGTTTAGGGAGCGGGGCGAGCGCATCGCGTTTGAGGACTTGGTACCACGGTTTAGGCTGCTCAGTAGACGATTTGACAAGTGTCTCAGGCAGAACCAACAGAGTGAGCATGGCTGCGATGAAGGTGAAAATGGCCATGAAGTACAAGTTTGCGCGCCACCCAAGCCAGACTTGCAAAGCGCCACCAATGATGGGTGCAACCAGGGGTCCAATAAGTGTTCCCAAGTAAAACCAGCCCAAAGCTGATCCACGTTCGGTCGAGATGTAGATGTCGCTTATGACACCGGCACCAACACTTTGAGCAGAAGAGCAGCCCATTGCTTCGATAAGTCGAAAGACGATGATGAGAGGTAGCGAGTTGGAGACCGCGCAGACAATCACTGCGACTGTCGAGATAAGGAAGCTTGAGACTAGGACCGGTCGACGGCCATACTGCTGGCTCAGGGTACTCCACCACAACGGAGCAATGGCCAAGCCAAGAAGAAAGACAGTTGTAGTAAGTGCGACTTTTGTTTCGGTGGTGTGAAAGTAGTCGACAAGAGTTGTGAAAGATGGGAAGAGAATGCAGGAGGCAAATGGTGCTGTGAATGCAGATAGAGTGGTTATGGCGACTATTGCGTGCTTTTGCCAAGTAGAATGGGTTGTTGGGTCTTCTCGTCGAGTAACGAAGCAGAATCTATCTAACCATGTCTGGTAGAGTTGCTTGGGCTTTTCGTTGGAGGCAGTATCTGACATCTTGGCTAAAGGATGAATGGCGTCGGTTTTGAGGAGTTTAGTGTGATTAGTGAGAGTGAGAAATGATGGAGGAATGATATGAGGAGTAAGCTGTGAGTCAAATTAGATGATTGAGTCAGTTTATATATCAAAGCTTCCAGCAGCGATAAATCCTGTCCTGGCTAGAAGATGCGATTCCGGGATTTCGGGACTTTCAGCCATCGGGATTTCCCAAGATAATCCCGATGCTCTTGGGGACCTGACCAATAACAGGCGACAACTGGCTACCCAAATGCCTCTAAAATCTGACAAACATGCACTGTAAGCATCCTCGGGCTTCATCAGCACGCACTAAAACCTGCGGGACTTTCTGATCGGGAATTCTACTTATTACTTCCATCTCCCGAAGTCCCGATACCAAGAACTCACGCATTTCACTCAACAAACATGAACAGAAGCTGCGTCAGTTGCGCCACGTCCAAGGTCCGATGCGACCTCGACAAGAAGGGCTTTCCTTGCTCGCGATGCCAGCAGAAGAACTCACCTTGCGTGAAAGCTGGACGGAAGAAGCGAACAAGGAAAACGACGCCTAGCATCGTCAGTTCAAACCTGTCACCCCAAGAGAGAGCACAGCAGAATGAACCGCTGCCACCGCTCGAGGAGAATGTCGACTTCTCATTCTTTGACACATCATCCTTTGGCGAAATTGACTTTCTATCACAACTTGTTGATATCGAGAGCATGATTGACACGAGCAGTTGGACGTGGAGTCCTAGCGATATAGCATCGCCCATTGGCGAGAACACCGTGACTGACAGCCATGCTTTTTGGGCCGGTACGAGAGTAAATGACGGGTTCATCTGCCCAGATAATTTTCGACTCCCAGCCGACTTCCGTCTTGAGATTGACAGCCCAGAGACCATCCCTGTACATCGCCTAGAGACGCTAGCGAGGCTCTTCTTCTCGCACTTTCATCCTTCGCTTCCTCTACTACATATTCCAACATTCTGCCTAGCTTCATCACCTTCTGTTCTGATTCGGGCGATTTGCTTCATTGGCGCCGGTTTAGACAAATCTCCTACATCTACAGCTGAAGCAAAGCTCCTCTATGGCTCTCTTCCATCACAGCTGGCCAAGTTATGTCTTCGTTCGAACGGAAGCTCGCCAAGCTTTCAGGATCTACAAGCTTTAGTACTGCTGCAGTTCACCGCCATGGCGAGCGGAGGAAGTGCCGAAAGAGCTGCGTCACGACTCATACATCCGCTCCTCGTCGCAGCAATACGACATGAAGGTCTTCTCAAGGTTCACGGAGAATGTACCAAGGCTACACGCAATGCACACTTTTGGACATCGTGGATACAGAAAGAGTCAAACAAACGAGTGCTTTGGGGTGTTTATGCTGTCGACTGCTACCAATCAATACTTTATGGCAGTAAACCCATTCTATCACCGACAGATACGAGGGCATCCTTTCCATGCGATGATGCTAGTTGGACAGCTTGCTCTGCTTCCCTATGGGCTGCACTACCAGCTCAAGACCCTTCTAGCTGTTTCTTGTCCTCCGTTAAGGGCCTCATGGTAGGCCATGCTCCAGCTGAGACGAATCTGACAGCTTTTGGGATGAACCTCTTGATCCTCGCAGTTAACTCACTTTTGCTCGAAGCCCAAACGTCAATACTACACGTCGATACTTCGGCTCTGGACTTGGCACTGCAGACTTGGTATGCATCTTGGCAGCAATTCCAAACGCAGTCCCAAGACGCCAGCGATACAAGGGCGAACTCTGTCCTCATCACAAACAGTCTGTCCTTACACCGCCTGGGAGTCCACTTTATTAGAAATGGGCGGCCTGTTTTGGATGAAAAGGCTTATCTGGAAAGGTCTGCTGACACTAGGAACCCTCTCATCATCAAAGAGCAGGTTTATCAGGATGAGATGATGAAGTACGTGAGGGGAGTCCTTGATGCGTTCGAAGAATCATGACTTCAAAATCTGATAACGGGTACTGCGAAGTGAAAGAATAAGATATCAGGAGCAGGTTTCTAAGCAAATAAATATTGAGAAAGATCGCTGCTTTTTATAGTAGGAGGTTCTAAGAAATAGAGGATCAGACTGTAACAAATAAAAGTCAAGCTCTTCCGTGTCCTCATACCGCAACCAGATTACATGAACTAGAGCTCGCCTAGGTCTGCAACCAGCTCTGCTATAGGTGGTCTTGAAATGTCCTCAAAAGATCGGGATATGAAGACATCGGCACAAACATAACCCATTTCCTCAAAGCCAGTCGGATCCAGTCCACGCGCAGCTACATGCGCAACAGCATCACTCTGCTCCTGGGGAGAAGCGAAGCGGCGTTGACGCAGCACGACGCCTGGAAGCTTCTCAGTCACAAGGCCGAGCTTTCTCAATTGAGTTGCTATTTCCTCGTAGGAAGACGTCCGAATAACAGTGCTAGCCACCCATACGTTGCTTGACCTACCGACTGCAGCAATGATGCGAGCGAAGGTTCGAGAGCTTAAGTAGCTGACGCCTCCCGTACAAATTATAAGACTCACACTCTGCAGTGCCTCACGTAGCCCCGGAGAGGGATCATTGGCCTCTAGATCCTCTGCCCAACCAGCGTCGATCAAGCCGACATCCAAGGCATAGCGAACAGCATGGCCTGCCTTGTCAAGCCCTAAGACCATGGGTTTGGCAGATCGTTCTCGACTCGCAAAGAACTCTTTGTCAGCCAGAACCTGATGCTTAGAATCGAGCTTTGAGTCCATGTAATGAGCTGTCCAAGTTTCCATGTCGACATGGTGTCGGAGCAGGGCTCCATTGATACCGTATGAGCAGCACACGTCTAAGATTGCGGAAGTGGTCCTCCCTCCACAAGATAGTTGGTGGAGTCGCTGGAACAAAGGCAGTACTTGCTGCGGAATTGTGTATTGTAGAGGCGCCAAGATTGTAAGATAGCCTCGCGGGTCTTTCTGGTTGTATAAATCGGTAAAGTTTGCTTTCCGAGCGGCAGCAGATCTCTGCTGCCCATTTGACATTGTGGGCTGCTATTCGTACTGGAGAGGAAGATGCAGAATCCGATGGAGAAGCAGGACAGTGGACACTCCCCCTCTTATATCACCTTAGGTAGTCTCATGTCTCACTTTGGCTTATGCATGTACAAGAAATTACGGAAGACTAAGAGTGGAGGTGACACCGTAAAGCATTCAATCATTATCGCATTGCATTAATACGGCAGCCTCAACATACATGCCAAGACCATGTACGCTGGACCGGTGAGTATGCAGACGCAGTATCACCAGCTTATGCACTTGATACGAAGTTACAATGACCGACCAACACATGCTAATAATAACATAATGTCTACAAAGTGAAGAGCTGTTTCTAGCGCCATGTCGCCATGTGAAACATGAACCTGCAAAATACTATAGTGCCTAGAGGAGGAAAGAAAACTCAAGACCTTAACCCTAATGTTAAAAGTCTTTAGGTAAATTTAGCCTAAGCTTAGGGGACTCTTTGCTAAGTTTTTCCTGATACCTTACATCAAGGTTCGGTATCTTCTTACCCCCCGAGGAGTGCTTCTAATTTCTCCCGTATCATATTGACGCTATATCACAATGCAGCAGTCATCGTCGCGTGGTGGAGGATTGCAAACAAAGCAAGCTCGATAAGCTGCTCGCTTCGAACGGCCTGTGCACGTAGGGCAGACATCTAAAGTTCCAAACAAGGCCCTTTCTTAGTAAAGTTGATAGGTGCAAGATCAGAGACCCAAGCACGTACGGTATTGGCACCAAGGGGAGATCTTAGTGCTGAAGTGTTTGCGTGGCCTGTTGCACTGAGGGATAGCGCAAACTTGTGAGTACGGATTGTGCATTTTCGGTGTACCTGAGTGGTATTTGAACTTGAGATGATAGTAGAAACTGAAGCACAACAGAAAAAGGAGAGCATAGAGAATGAAGGAGGACATGGGAGGCGGGGACTAAGTACCAAAGTCTTAACCGCCAGCCTGATTTCTCAATACGACGGAAAGCAGGCTCTCATGCGATTGAAAGTGCAAGTAATCTCTCGTCAGCACATGTCTCGAGCATTCTCATCTCTTATTTGCTACCAGTCTGTTGTGGCGCTTTAAGGCCGCGTATCTGTCCCGAAAGTGCAACCGTCGATGCATCATGCTACCAACTTGGTAGACCACCATTATGTGTCATGTCAGGTCTCACCAGGTGGCCAGCGACATCAAAGAGTAATGCGGACAAAAGACGATAGAAATCAGGTGAGACTCGCCAACGGACCGAACATTGTGACTTGTTACAAGCTACTAATAATGAATACTGACATTCTTGAAGATGGGCACGCATATGCAATATTGACATGAATATATCTCTTCCATCTCGTGCTCCATAGTGGGATGAAGGGTTATGAGCATTGCACTTCTCGACCGCAGGCAGGCTTTTATTACATTCATGTATTGCTATCACAATCAAAAACTGAAGCTGTCAAGATCCCCATGTAAACATGCATAACAATAAGTTAACTAGATCGAGCCTTGTAATTTGAATTTTCAAAGTAAACACCCTTTGGTAGAGTACACAACATGGCTTCATGATACCTATTTCTCACCGATCAATGCCAGAGCAAAATCCTTGTAATCACCGCTTAGAACCGACTTGATATTCCCACTCAACGTAGCACCAGTCACTGGCTTGTACGCCTGCTTTGTCTGATACAAGCGCCCCTGGTCCCAGTATAGGCTGACGAGTCTGTTGATGAAGAGACGATCCTTGCGCATCGACTTGTTCAGTGGCATACTAAGCCTGCCTGCATCAGCACGAGCTCGATCCTGTGCATGATAGAGAATCCGCAGTAGCACGTCTTCCATGTCACCGCGGAACTCCTTCTCAATGACACTCTCGAGACTACGGTGATATTTGTGTTGATATGCGTCGCTCATGGCCCGAACTTGGGCGTCGTTGCTGCTGGTGAATATCTGCGCTACAGAGACAGCATTGGCACCGATTGTACCCTCAGTGGCCCTCTGAAGTTCTGTAATCTTCTGGTCAATCTCGTGAGGAATCACCGGAGCGTTATCCTCCGCTCGCCTGGCGGCAAGGACCATGCTGTAGAGTCGGTAGAGGGTGTCATCAACGTCTTCCTTGATATCAACCAGAAGTTCCTTGCCTCGGAAGCGCTTGTATTCTGCGGTAATGGCGCGAATATCAGCGTTGGAGCGACAGAGAAGAACATCGTTCAAGGCATCTTCATCGGTGCCAGCGCGGTTGAGAGCCTTTGACAGATTTTGCACGTCATTCTCCAATGGTCCGCGGATCAGAGCGAGAAGACATGTCTCGAAGTCGCCACGGGTCTCACTTTCGATGTCCTTTGCGAGATCGCGCATGAAGCGGCTATTGTAGTCGCGGACCAGCTGAGCCATTGTCCATGGATCCGCGTATTTGGGGCTGACGAGAACACGAATGAGGGCCTTTTCATCACAGCCCATTCCCTTCATGGCCTTTCGAAGAGCCTCCACGTCTGCTGTGGTGTCTACAGGCTTAACCCATGCTTTCTGGGCTGGGTCATAACCTGGCGATGCTGGAGTTGGAGGGACGTTGACTGGGGGTCCGCCATATTGCTGCTGTCCAGGCTGCTGGTGCCACTGCTGGCTGGGGTAAGGTGGTTGCTGCTGCTGCTGTTGTTGGCCAGGGTATGGAGGCTGGCCTTGCTGAGGGCCGCCGTATTGCTGGGGCGGATACTGTCCCTGTCCATAAGGAGCCGGAGGAGGCTGTTGCCCATAAGGAGCTTGCTGTCCTGGGGGTTGCTGTCCGTAAGGAGGCTGTTGTGAATAACCTTGTGAATGCTGCTGGTATTGACCTTGCTGACCCGGAGGAGGGTATTGTTGACCTGCAGGAGGATATGGCTGATTTGGCTGTCCTCCAGGTGGGCCTTGCTGCTGGTAGCCATAAGGCGGTTGCTGGCCTGGAGGTGGCTGGTAGTAACCCTGGCCAGGTTGCTGCTGTCCCGGATAGCCCGGCTGAGGGGGCGCGCCGCCCTGGGAACCCTGCCAGTAAGGAGGTTGCTGCGACATCTAGGTAAGGTAGTGAGTAGACTGTTTAAGCTTCAATTAAGCGATGTTTGGAAGCTGATGCTGATGCTGATGCTGATGCGCGCAAAGTCTTGGACGTGTTCAGCCCTATTAAACTAAATCTGACAGGCGGGGGATCGCAACGTGGAGGCCTCTTCCTGGTTACCTCCCACTATCATGTTAGCGGTTGTGCTACCGCAATCCGGTGTTGAATGCCTCACTGGCGTCTTGCAAGTGGCTGTGCCGCCATTAGGCTGATTGCTATCAAGACTAAAGATGACCCGATCCTCGTTGATCTATCCGATAAAGAGAAGGTGCGGGGCAAACAAGGCAGAACGGGCTGTTTGTGGCTTACAGGTAGGATTGGAAAAGTAACGATCGTCGCATGTGAATTCAATCAATCAATTGTAGCTTGCGATTAATTCGGCGTAGTGATATGGAGCCGTATTGATTGAAGGTCTTGACAATTTAGAGCCCCGCTACAGGGCACTTGAGCGAAGCATCACCTGATTGTTAGCGAAAACATTAGCGCCTGCACCTAAGATTATTCGCTAAGACAGTTTCGAGGCTTGGGTTGCCCTCCAATGGAAGTGGAATAGCAGAAAACGATTAGAGAACACAGATATCTTATTAAACTTTCGAGCGTAGTACAAATTAGATTTTATAGTCCAGCAAAGAAGCCAGAGCTGGAAAGAAACGGGTTGAATGACGTCCAGGTCATAACAAGCTTCGAGTCTCAGCAGAGGCATGTTCTCTCGTGCAAGTATGGAATAAGGTACTTTGAGAAGGTTACGATAGAATACAGAGAATAATAGAAGAAGATTTACTATTGAGCCCATCGACATATCGAGTACAGCCAATGAAATTTCCTGTGCCGTTCTCAAAGCTCACATAATGTTACAGGGATGGGGAATGACCTATGTGCGCATGAATAGGTACCATCATGTTCTCTTTCCGCGCACACATGCTAGTCGTTTCGACATGCCCATACATTTCTTACACTGACCTCAGCTATAACGCATATCGCTTGTCTATCCCAAGCTTTGGCAGTTTAGAGAAGCAGTCCCGTGGAATTCATCCTCTGGCAACTCAATCGCAACACTTGCGGAACGGATTGCTGGTTGCGAGCAGATTGGTATCGTTGGTTCAGTCTACTCAAGATGATTGTACTTTTATTGAAGACAGAGCTGTGTCAATAGCTGGGATCACATCATATTACTAACAAACATCAGTCCTCACGTCCTTCCTTAGGGCAAGGAAAGAAGAATTCGTAAATGACCTTATCTGGATGCGCCATAAACCGAACCAGTCAGCCGGCCTGTTGTTGGCCCATCGTGGTCTTGGCTCTCCCCTGTGATGCACGTATGACTTGTGGCTTTCTTCGGGTACCCTGACCGGAGGGATTGAACTCTACACATCATCACGTCACGCTCCTGGCCCGCGAGTCTACTTGGAAGAGCATACCTTGTGTTTCGAGGATTGAATTGTGGATGGTAGTTTTGAGAGGGCTCTTCAAGAAACTCTGTCTACGATCTGGTTCTGAGGGCCGGTCTCATTTCCCAGTTTTTGATCTGGACGGACAAGAGTTGTGTGTCTGATGGCGATATCTCGGTATTGGTAGGAACAGTTCGGTGATGACCGGTAAGAGTCTAGGCATATGCGCTTACTTGTTTGATCAGCAGAGCGGCAGAAGGAGGTCCATAAGAAGAAGTATATCTTACCTTGAAGCGGTTGGAGGATGACCCGGAGGGTTGGGATGATATCAAAGACATCCTACCAACATATCATCGCATTCCCATTGTTGCAGACAAGGGCGAATATGGTATGGCTGAAGAGAAGATATTCATTCGCCGTGATGTATAGGCCACTCATAGTGCAGTCTTTGCTTTCTATTGCCACCTTTTGTCAAGATCCTGCCAGTGGATGTCACACCAGCCAGAATGTGATAAGCTTATCGAGCCACGCATTTGTGCCTGTCGTGGCTGCATTAGCCAGCCAAGGTTAAATAGGTAGCCAAGGCAATTAATTGCTGACCTGACCGCTCAACCTCGGGACCCTCTCGAAGTCATAAAACACCATTTAAAATAGATTCCCAAGCTGAGTAATCGATCTCCATCAATCACATCACTCCCCGAGTATGGCTCCGTTGACCCGTTGGCCTCGCCCAATTCCAATTTGCAAGGTGGGGAGCTACCTCTCACCCCCGCTCGGTACCGTTATCCTATATAAATGCTAGCTACCCCTCGATTTTAGCTGCCGAGGCCGTTTCACCGAAACAGTTATCATCAAAAACTTCACTCAAATCCCTTTTTTGTATATCAAAATGGCTCAAGTCCTCGTCGTCTACCCCTCCGGTCCTTCTTTTGACCTGGATTATTATCTCACAAAGCACATGCCTCTCGTCGCATCGTAAGTGGGACCCAGATCTGACATGCCACCAGATTTCGATGCAATTACTAATGCCGCTGCAGCAAATGGGGTTCCTACGGTCTCAAGAACTACAAGATCATTACCTTCCAGGAGGGTGCGCCCTTCCAGATCCAGGCTACTCTTGAGTGGGAGAGCCTCGAGGTGTTTGAGAAGGCTGCCGCTAGCGAGGCTGCCGCTGCTGTCTTTGGTGATATCAAGAACTTCTATGATGGAAACCCCGTGCTGCTGAAGGGACCTGTCGTTGCCAGCGAGACTGTTGCGTCATCGTAAGAGTTTAATGAATATACTACTATGCAGACCCTTCCATCTGACCATTTGCCAGCGAATCTAAATTGTAGAGTCCGTTCTGATTCAGATTGGGATAGATGGTATGTTGACGGACATGGAACTCCGCAGCCGCCGAGTATCGAGGAAACGTGTACATATCGGTAATCTAATGCGATTCCGTGAGACATTCCGTGGAACCAGGGTATCCTTTCGGAATTGAGCAGTTATTGGATCAACATTTGTCCAATGTCGATCGATTTGTGAAACCTCATCTTCTGTCATATGCCGTATTGCGGGCCCGGTTCCGCATGTGCTCATCGATCATCCCGCTCCGATTCCAATGCTCTTCTCAGGCATGGTAGATCAGGTGATCTAGCGAAGTTTCAATCTTGAGAATCTTCACTTTCATTGATATGGGAGCCATAGTGATACGATGTTCTGAATAGGAAAACTTGCGGCCCGATAAGACCATGCAGCCGGGTTTCCCGGCAATTCGGTCTCGGCTGATTCACATACCGAGCTTTCTCCCCAAGGATCTGCTGATTGAACCATGGAGACAAAATGGCAAGCTAAAATGTTGTAGAATCGAGAGAACCTCAATCTAACTTGTGCGCAGTGAAGTCTTTTGAGCTTCATGAATCAAGAGTTTTACTTGACATCACGAAGTCGGTGAGCCAAAAGTGGTTCTCTGATTACCGATCGGGAAGTATCATGCACCGTAACTGCTCACACAAGTAGATATATTACTTCCATCTTTCTTTGTCTGAGACATTCGATGTTGAGATCAAGGCAGAATGGCTAAACGCCATGGCCATGATGTGATGTCAAGATCCAGAAGGGTCCTTATCGCCCACTATCAACGCTAATCGGGCCGTCGATAACGACTCTCTAAACTATTTCTGGTTAAGCTCGACCATGACAGGAGCAGCTCAATTGCGTCAATTTTCAGTGACGCAACCTCAAATCCGAGATCGACATTTTGAACTTGACGTTTTGAACATCACATCCTCCAAAAATGTCTTCCACAAAAGCACCCGAGCTCGAGCTCGCGCCGTTCCTCCAGTCAGCGCTACCCCAAGAAAACAGAGCATCATTGCGCGACTCGGTCATTCCTCAGCTTTTAAGCGCTATCGCAGATATCGGCAAAGGATTGAGAGGATCATATGATGTTTCCATCGTCGGCACAGAGAACGCTTTTGGTGACGAGCAGCTAAATGTTGATGTTCTGGCCGAGAACATTATTCGTGACGGTATTGCGAAGTCATCGGCTATCAAAACTGCTAGTAGTGAAGAGGATCCCATCGAGAAGCCAGCGCGCGCAGGAGAGACAACGCAGGCTGATACCAGTGTTGAGCAATACACTGTCGCTTTTGATCCTCTTGATGGAAGCTCTATTATTGGGCCCAATTGGTCCGTGGGTACCATTATTGGTGTCTGGGATGGGTTGACAGCAGTTGGCCAACCTACAGAGAAACAAATTGCTTCTGTTCTTGGAGTATTCGGTCCACGAACCCTCGCCATCGTCGCCCTTCGAGTTCCAGGAACTAAGCCCGTTTGCTTCGAAGTCAGCCTCAACGACACCCAAAAGTTCGTTGTCGCTCGTCCTGAGCTTCGACTCGCCGAGCCTCCCTTTAAAACACGCTACTTCGCTCCCGCCAACCTACGAGCCGCTGCCGACAATGAGAAGTACATGAATCTCGTGACAAGTTTCATCACCGACAAGTATACCCTACGATACTCTGGAGGTCTTATTCCTGATATCTATCACGCTTTGGTCAAGGGTCACGGCGTGTACATCTCACCAGTGACCTCAGCCAGCAAGGCTAAGCTGCGAAGACTTTACGAGTTGCTCCCTGTAGCGCTTGTTGTTGAGTGCGCAGATGGACAGGCCATCGACCCTGAGACGGGTGCGAGAGTATTTGATACTATATTGAAGGGATGTGATGATAGAGCTGGATTGGTTTGTGGAACTTTGGAGGAGGTCGAAAAAGTGAAAAAGGCATTGTTGGGATAGGTTACAGATAGGAAGCATAAAAGTTCGGTTCATTTTTGAGCATCGGTATGAAATCGGTAGACAGCATTCATCAATTTCTTGAACTTCCTATTTGAAACACTTAAGCTGCCCCATTCGAAGCCTTTGCAATATCCGGAAAGTTTGGGCTTGTAACCTTGACGCCATCTCCCTGCGCCAAAGGCTGCCAAACAGCATAGTAAATGCTCGTTCTGTCCAGCAGCACTTCTACCTCAAGCGCATCAGGAAATACATCCGCAACAGATCGTTCGCGCGCAATATCCTCGACCTCTTCGCGCAGGGCCTCGTGATCGGCATCTTCAGGCTTAGGGAACGACATGTGAACAGCGATCATCTTATCCTCCGGTCGGTGCAAGAGCCAAAACGAGCCTGCTCCTCTTCTCTCGGCACCGTCTTTGAGGACGGGATACAGCTGCTTCAAGATGGCTTCAACACCAACATGGTGGTAAGTCCAACGCTGGAAACGACCGATGCCATGCTCTTCAACTGGGGTGAAGTTGTGTGCCCCGATGACGTTCCAAACAAAAGAGTCGACATGTTTGAACAAAGGCTGCTTCCAATAGGTCGTCTTTGGCTCGCCCACTTCGAAATCGTTTGTGGTCCAGTCCTCGTAGCCTTTTGCATTTTCGAGCGTGTCGAAGAGATAGCAGCCTCCAGTCAGCATATCACCGTTGATAGGGTGATACTTCGTAGGGAGGTACTTGATGTACATGCCTGGGCGCTTTCCCATTACTTGAGCGCCGCCATATTGACCCTGCCAGATGTCTTCAAGTCCGACACGGGGAGCAATCTTGATTTCGGCAGTGAAGGCACCTTCGGCGTCAATCTTGCCGACGCCGTAACTGAGGTTTTGGTTATTGGCTGTGGTTGGGCATGTCAGACGTGACATCAGATGAGGGGTATCTCAACTCACCCATTTCGTCTGAAATTTGTTTGTATCTTGAAGTATATCCACTCTTGACTCGCGATGAACTTTCGAGAAAAGGACGTCCTGGAACTGTCCTTCTTATACTTCTTTTTAGTTTTGGCACTATTCCCAAGTGCTTAGTAGAACAGATGAAGTTTGGTAATGATGACGCTGCAGGCTCACGAGGCAGAAGCCAATCACGGTCTGGACCTGTCGATTCTTACTAAGACTGTACGTCTCACGCCTCAAAGTATTGGTTGCCGTCTGAACACGGAGGCTTCTGTCCAGAATCTAACGTACGCTACGATAATCGTAACGTCAAGTACAGGCGCCATATGGTCTCCTATATCCTTAGGGCCTTGTCATCACCATGATATACGCGCCTTGTATTCGAGTTTCCTGTTTGCATTTGCCATAGGTGATATCCCTAAGTAGAGTGCCCTTTCTCCTTAGTAGTTTCCTCAGTCTCCAGACGCGTCTCTTAAGTCTATCTATTGTCATACTTCCAAGTCCTTGGTCGTTCCTGATTTTTCCATTGAATGAGGAACTATAAGCTCGGGCTGTGAGCTTCGAGGAATCACCAGACGATAGGATCACGGACATAGAAAAATGCAAAGAAGGACCACGGAAGCGTCGTATGGAGACTGGATAGCATGGAAGTGAGAATGGTAGCGAGCAGGCTTCACGAACGCGGCTCGAACGCTCCCAAAACTAATAAGGGGCTGGGCTACCCATAACAAGTTGACATCCCCTACTCGCTTGCTCCGAGGAGTATCAACTAGGATTGCCCTATGCTTTCAGTAAACTGTCGGTCAAGGTAGCTTTACGAATATACGAGTATAGAGAGTCGAGCGATTGGACAGAGGAACATCCTGAACATATGATCACACCGTTTCGGCCTATTTCGCCCCGAATCATCAGTGTACTGACTTCATCAAGGAGCAAATGGGCAACATTTGATCCCCCAATTTCCAAGATGCCCCCAAATACTTCCTTTGAAACATCTCCGAGATGATGTCCACCAGTGAAACACCGATATTCTGGAAGGGGTAATATCGTCTCATTGGTGGAAATACCCCTCATCCTCAACCTCGTCGTCCCCTTCGGAGTGGACCAATCCGTACGCCCCATCTAGGAAATTGAGTATAGTACACTTCTTATACATAAAATAATAGACAAATCCATCGAAAAATGAGGAATTGTCACAGCATTCTGATCATTGGATCTCGCAAATATGGTTGTTATTAAGCTTACCCCCGCAATAGTCCTAGCCTTCCTGGCTGGTGCCAACGCTAAGGATATCTTTGTATCTCCTACTGGTACTGGCTCTGGTACTCTTGCTGCACCATATGGATCGATTCAGTCTGCCATTGATGCTGCCAAGGCTGGTGACTTTATTTACTTGAGGAAGGGTACTTATGCTCCTTCGAAGAACATTCAGGTCAAGACCAGCGGAGCAAAGGGTAGTCCCATTACAGTGAAGCCTTATCAGAATGAGAAGGTTATCATTGATGGAGAGAATATGCCTGGGTAAGTAACAACTTCAATCGAGATTGTCTTGAAGCTAACACGACGTAGTACACCAAAGGCTGTTGGCGAATCACTTCCCAACGCTGAGCGTGGCGTTTTCCATATCCAGAATGCCGAGTGGTGGTCATTCTATAATCTCGAGTAGGTTCAACTCTAGCCTCGAACACTCTTAAACTCACATTTCACAGGATCATCAACGGTCCATATGGTATCTACGCCAGAGATGCCTCCAACAACTACTACGAAGGTCTCTCCACCCATGACAACTATGAGACTGGCTTCCAGCTCGAAGGCGCTTCCTCCAACAACCAAGTCATAAACCTCGACTCCTACCGTAACCGTGACCCTCGCAAGAACGGCGAGAGTGCCGACGGTTTTGCTTGTAAGGAGGGTTCGGGTGAAGGCAACGTCCTCCGCAATGCCCGACTTTGGGAAAACGTCGATGATGGACTGGACCTGTACATGTTTGGCTCTCCTGTCACGCTCGACGAAGTATACGCTTGGGGTAACGGTTTCAACCGCTGGGGTTTCACACCCTTTGAAGGTGACGGTAACGGTTTCAAGCTCGGCATCACCAACAACCCTCCCGCGAACCATATCATCAAGAACTGCATTGCCTTCCAGAACGCGAAGAAGGGCTTCATTGATAACGGAAACCCCGGCTCTCTGACCTTCGACCGTAACACTGCTTGGAAGAACGGTGACAATGGTTTTAACCTACGCAGCTCTTCGTCCAAGGTCACCAAGAACGTTGCTGCCAGCAACACTGGTGATCAGGTCAGCTTGAACAGCAAGGTTTCTGCGTCTGGAAACTCGTGGGATATCAAAGACACCTGGAATGATGCTTCTTTCAAGAGCACTGATGCATCCACGCTCAAGGGTGCTCGTGGAACTGACGGACGTGTCAAGGCTAGTGACTTCTTGATTCCTGCTTCTGGAGCTGCTATTGGTGCTACCACCAAGGCAAAGGTTTGAGGAGTGACCTTGGAAGTTTGTCCATAATTCTTAGTATACATATATTCAGTACGACACTTCTTCGTGTCGGTTTTTCTTCACAAAACAAACGTGAGACCTCAAGTTTTAGTTGATCACGCCTAGGTTGGGATGGTATCAAGGGAAGAATCATGCAGCAAAGACAAATACAGTTTACAATTTTGACCTCCGGTACTTATGCCATCTATCATCCACAATTGCCTCCTTCATGTAATCCTCATTAAGTTCATCCTGTCTTGTTGCTCATACCATCAATGATACCGTTTTCATGCATTTCTTTGGTCGTATTCTACAATGTTCCGCCCATAATATCTTTCACATCACGATTCAGTGCAGAAGTAAATCAGTTACGGCCCCTGCGATGATCACATGTCAGCAATATGCGCGTTATACATGGTATAATTACTCACAGAATCTCATCAAAGTAGGGATGGTTCAGGGCTGCCTTGGCAGAAATGCGAGTTACAGGATCGCAGATGAGCATGTAGTCAAGAAGCTCTAGGCCAGCCTCATCCAGGTTCGGGCAAAGCGGAGTTGAGAAATCTCGCTGCCACTTGGGAAAAGAGGGCTTGAAATCTGGGTAAGTGGTGACACCAGGCCAGGCGTCTTCGTCGGGTGTTCCGAGGGTTCTGCCAAGATTAGTACTCGTCATCCAGGACCTAGGTCGGGTTGACTCACCGGAAGATCTTGAAGATCTCGTCGATTTCTGAATCACCAGGGAAAAGGGGCTTTCGGGAGCACATCTCAGCGAAGATAGTACCGACAGACCACATATCAACACCAGTAGAATACTGCCGTCCACCAAGCAAGACCTCGGGCGCGCGATACCACAGCGTGACAACCTCATGGGTATAACTTCTCAAAGGGACACCAAACGCTCTCGCCAAACCAAAATCAGCCAGTTTGAGATTTCCGTCCTTATCAATGAGCAAGTTCTGCGGCTTCAAGTCGCGATGCAATATGCGACGCGAATGACAATATTTGATGCCCTGGACCAGATCCAGCATAAACTTCTGCACCACCTTCTCATCCATTCCCAAGTTTCGCACGGTAGTGGCAGTTCCAGTGGGCAGAGGCTTTCCACGGCCGCCGTCAGTGACGGGGAGCGAGTCCATGTACTTTTTAAGATCAAGGTCGAGGAATTCCATAACGAGGTAGAGCTTGTGGCCGTCGGCGTGAACAATATTCAGGAGGCTGACGACGTTTGGGTGGTTAAGTTCTCTCAGGACGGAAATCTCGCGGATGGCGGTGCTGGGAACGCCCTCGTCTTCGGTCTCGAGACGGATCTTTTTGAGGGCGACGATGCGGCCATTGTGGCTGAGATCGCGGGCTTTGTAGACAACACCATAAGTACCTGAGAAGGGTCAATAAATATGTATCATAACATGACATGACATGGATGTTCAGACCTTCGCCGACTTTTTCTATTCTCTGATAGTTATCCATGTTCGGTCTTGGTGGGGTATGCTGAGATGAGATACGTAGATGCTGGTGAGCGTGGTGAGGGGATGAGGAGATGAGGCTTTCGATACCGAGAATAGAGTTTGTCGCGGTGGGTTTATGTCGTATGCGATAAACTGCGCGTTATTCTATGAGATTACTCGCTATATTTCGTCTTTGCGATGCCGTTGTTCCTTTGTCTGGCCTCTTCTGTTTGTTTTGCGTCACTCGTCAATTGAAAATTCGATGCACTGACGGATCATTTTCCTCCCGACGCGTTTTTGTTGCGGGGACAACTAACGCAACGCGTCTTTCTGTTTGTCGTGTCTCCGCACCAACTCACTCACTGTGAATCACTCACTCACCGCTGAGAGATCGCTTGACAGCTCGTTCTGGTGTTTTCATTCACTATCTTTATTCTTCTCATTAACATTACCATTGTTCAATCTGTTCTTTGCGAACATTCTTTGCTGTTCATGCTCCTCATTGGCCGCTCGATCTAAGGGCCAAAGCCCTTACGCTCACTGACTTGTTCATCCCTGGAGTGGCGATGAGTGAAATCTCATCCACCAAAATAAACGAGGGCGGATAAACGACGCGACCGGCGTCGCAGTAAGGCAATATCAACCAGTAAATCGTCGACCGTGCAACAAACTGATCAGTTGGTGTTTTGGCTATCAGAAATAAATAATCTCACGAGGCTCGCAATAGTCAATGAGATAAGATACAGCGCAATCCTTAAGGGACCTGAGGTCAAGAAGCTATACCTGAAAAACTGAGAGGTGCATCTGGCGGTTTGAGATCATGACACGTCCCTGAAATGGCCTAGCTCTCTCTACTCTCGATGGATTGATCAAATAATAGACAGACCGCCTCATTCATGAACCCGCTGAGTTATGGATCGCTGTCAGTGCAGGTTTAGCGCTGTGTTGGCTTCCACAGCAGTGACTCAATCCCTGTAACGCAGTTCAGCTCTCATCATAATCCACTAAACTATTGCCTGTAGTGGGCGCCAAAACCAATATTTCACTTGTGGCGCCCAAGTCAACGACTTTAGCATATTTTCCCCTGAGGGAAAATAACCGTAAATTTAAGTTATGAGGAGCCCAATCCCTCGTCGCCTTGTCTTGATGCTTTCCTAAGGAGTCGATTGGCCGATCTCTCTTTTTTGTGCTCACTTTGCACTGTCCATTCGCTACCGTTTCATCATGGCTCGTCAATTGGCCGCAATTCTAGTTACTGCTCTTGCTTTTAGCGGTGTTAGCGCTGGACCTTGCAAGCCAGTTTCTGCACTCTCCCTGTCGTCTACAGTTCTTCTCGAGACGACTGCAACTGCGACTTCTCACGAGACTTCTTCGTTTACAGTCACTGCCGATGCGACCGAGACTACTGGTACTTTCGAGACCACAGTCACCGACGCTACCACTAGCACTACTACTGCTACCATGGATGCTGTCGACACTACCATCACCGAGAGCGCTACCGACACCACAACAGCCGGATCCATCACCACTTTCTTGGCAACTACTACTACCGAAGAAACTCCCGAGCAGTCTACCACTACCACTGCTGGTCCCATTGGGCCAGGTCCTTGCATTGAAGAGCAGGTCCTTTACAACCCCAGCTTCGATGACAACAGCGATGCTTGGCCATGGGACTTGGACAGCGATGTCACCGTCGATACAGTGCAGCCGCGTTCCCCCTCTAATCTCCTGTAAGCTACCTTTTTTCTGTCACGATCCGTCTATAAACTATACTAACAGGTCATAAACTAGCTTGAGCTACGTCACTTCCGACAGTCCATCCACCATGTTCTCTCAAGCTCTCCCCGCGTTGGGAGACTATGAATACGAGTTGGTCTACTACATTGCCATGGGCAATTATGCAGTCAATAACTATGACTTCCACTGCTATGCTACCACCTTCGTCAATGGAAAGAAAATAGGGGATAGCAGTAACTTCGATGGAAATGGCCCCTTCGCATGGCAGCGAGTTAGCGAGGTCTTGACGCCGCAGAGCTGTGATGCTGGGGAATTGCGTTTCGAGATCCAGTGCGAAGGCGGATTCCGGTATGTTTACATGCGTGTTGATGATGTCAGTCTCACTCGTCGTTGCGGTGCGTGATTGAGACTATGAGGGACTAAACGTTGCTTTGATCTATGCCTATGAGACATTCCATGAGTCGGCATCTTGTGATGATGCACGTTTCACTGAGACTGATAGCCTTCACCTTGCTTTGACTTGAGCAAATAACATTCCATGTGTAAATAATTCACTCATATATCCAATTCATCAGTCAGTCTATGCCTATCCAAGTACTATGTCACCAAAGTGACGGTAGCTCTATAGTAGACTACTCTTGTATCCTCCTATTTAACACCAAAATGCATGGTCGACATTTAACGCCTCATGAAATCCAATACACCTCACATAATCCCTCACTATTTATTATTTTCCAGGTCAAAGATTGAGGTTCGCAGTGCCATCCCTAAAAACGTACTGCTGTTGCCGCTGTACTGGGCGTGGGGTAGGGTCTGGCCCCTCAGGGTGAAGCTTCTTCACCCTCTGCCAGTGATGCAAGAGATGCTTCTCAAAATAGTTCTTGCGGTCATAGACATAAGGCACTCGTTCTGTGCCATTGCAGAACAAGCATTCGAGGCCGCCCTTGTGGTTTCGTAGACCTGCCAGACCTTGGCGTAGAGAACGAAGGCGCTCCCATTCAGAGATGAACTCTACAAGCTCAAATGGCATCGAGTCACCCCAGTCGGGAGGGTCTTGGGGTAGGTTGAGATCAACTTGGACATATGGGTGAAATTTGTTGGCTTCAGTGCTGGCAGACTCCGATTGCTGAGTGTTCCCCGGCTCTGAGTTTAGCTTGTCGCGCTTATCTCGCTTATCACGGGACGAACGAGACTCAGCCTCAGCTTGTTGATTGGAGGCCGGTGGCGCGGATGGCTGTGATGCCGGAGGTGCTGAAGACTCTGGCCGGGGAGGTAGGGCCCGTTGCTCATGAGGGCTTGCTACTGATTGTATCGACGAGGGCCCAGGTCCAGCAGTTGGTTCAACTTGCCGAAGTGGCGCTGGATGATAGGCAGCTCCCGGCGCTGGTCGTTGGGGTTGTTGAGAGAATCCCGGTGGCGATCCAGCACCTCCTTGCCGGGGTTGAGGAAGCTGAGGTGGATGTACTCCAGCAGTAGATGGTTCATGGCGTTGCGGACTGCTAGCAATGGTGGAGTAGGGGTTGTAAGAAGACTGGTATTGTCGTTCTTGTGGCCTGTTACTCGACACTAAAGGCGGCAGTAGGTTCGGATCTTGGAGTTGCGGATCGATGTCCGCGAGTTGCCGAGGAGGAGGAAGATTCGAAACTTGGCTTGATGATGGTTGGTTCCAGTGTGGTGATGAGTAAGATTGAGATGCGCTATGAGTTGCTGGTTGGTAGGGAGGCCGCTGCTCGTTTTGCCTGTGGCCAGAGGCTGATCGAGAGTGGCTTGAGGGTGCGGATTGATAATGAGACGACGAAGGTCGTTCAGCAGATGCCCCGCCCTGCTGTGCCTGTACTTGGTTGTTTTGATATGCGGTTGGCCACTCGTGGCTGGTACGGAGAGGCGCCGTTTGCTGTGAGGGGACTGTTGGTACGTTTGGTAACTGGCCCGCTTGTGGTGGAGGTTGTGTTACAGGGGCGGCATACGGGCTGGTAAAGGATGGACGAGATGTATGTGATGTCTGGTTGTGAGTTTGGGCGGAAGGAATGGGGGGAGAAGCCTGCGGAGGCGGCGGCAGCACCTGATTACGATTGCCGTGAGGAGACTCATGCATATGTCTGTGCATCAAGTGTGCCAGAGAAGGAGTGCGTTGAGTAGGTCTCTCAACTGGCGGAATTTGCGCCTGCGTGTCATACTGCTGCGTTGGGGCTGGCTGAGGAGCGGCATGATATTGTTGGGCGGGTTGTGGCTGTTGATATTGCACCACAGGCTGCTGTTGGTAAGCTTGCGGCGACTGGGTATAAGACTGTGCTGGCGATTGCTGCGCCTGGTACTGCGCATTCTGATATTGCGATGGGGCCGCCTGTTGAGACGGATATTGCTGCTGGGAATCAGGTCGTGGATAGTGAATCGAAGATGTAGTGGACATGGGGGAAGCATGCGATTGGCTTGGCTGATATTGATTCTGATGTGACTGTTGGGGATCGGCTGTCTGCTGTAATCGCCCTTGCGTATGCCAGTACTGAGTCGTGGGAGGAGGTTCAGGTATCCGTGCTGTCTGATCATAACTTGCTCGCCGAGACGAGGTCTCTGTTTGGCTGGGTGCAGCGCTCGTGTAGTCAGTCAGGAGCTGTTGTTGAGGAACCTGCGCTTGTCGTGGCTGGGGCTGTTGTAGATGTGCATACTGCTCAGGAGGTGGCTGGCGATATGCTTGGCTTATTGGACTCGGCCCTGCGCTGTATGGAGGGCGTGACGCATAGTTATCAATCTCCATGGGTCCTGGCAACGGCTGTGTCGGCGGGGTTGGGAGTGATCCAGAGCCAAGCTGCCTACCGAAGTTCCGATTCGGGTTTGCCACTTGTGCTTGGTGCTGATCTGGCAGAGGCGTGTTTGTCACAGCTGGGGTGTATATTGCTGCATGTGCTCTCTCTACATCCCCTTGCACAGGCCTGTGTGTCGCATCATAAGATCTCCGATCCCACGCCTGCCCAACCGACGTATTCGACGGTTCATCCCGCCTCAGTGCTGCCAGCGCGATGTCAACCGCCGTCAGGCGATCCGCGTCAGTACGTTGGGCTGCTGTCGTTCGTTGCTGGCTGTCGGTCACGTCAGCTGCGAGAGCGGCAGTCAACTGTTGGATAACTTGGGCTCGGGAAGCCTGCCGTGATAACATGCGTGCGGCAGCGGCAGTGTTTTCAGCGTCCGAGTCATCATCTGAAATGTCAATAACGATTATGGGCTTTTTCTCCTCCTTGACATCGTCACCGGGTAATGGCCGTGGCGGATTCCTGGTGCTTGCAGGCCTTGGCACTGGCGAGGGTATTGGCAAGGGGCGAGAGACATTACTGGGGTGCGGAACAGACTGGTGCCTCGGCGGCGCTGATGGTGCTCTTTGAGCTGGAAGCGGAGGCGGAGGGTCGGCACTGGGCTGGGGAGCCTGTGGCTGGACAGGAGTAGCTTGTTGCCGGGCAGGAGCAGCTGGTTGCTGAATAGGAGCAGCTGGTTGCTGGATAGGGGCAGCTTGAGAGTCGTCTTCCAAAACTGGAGCAGGCTCATCATCCTGAGGCTCAAATGCCGTGTCAAGTTCCGTTTGAATTTCGTCGGAGACTGGAGGTGGAACTTCAGGTTCCGCTGGGGCTGGGGCTCATTAGCTTTAAATTCCGAGTTTGCATGCGGCGAGTAGTCATACCAGTTACAGGCGCCTGAGGCTTGGTCTGAGCAGGCTTGTTCGGGTGCTGTTCAGTTGGCTTTGGCGGAGGTGGATTTGATTCCTTCTCAGCTGGCCTCGACCCTGTTGGCTTTGGTGCCGCCGGCTTTGAGACGGGTTGGCTAGGCTCCTTCTCAGCAGGTGTCCCTGATGCTGCCCTCGTTACTGTTGGCCGCGGAGCCGTTGGCTTGGCTCTTGTCTGGACCTGATTGGTTTGACGATTCTCGGCAGGCCTCGGTGCTGATGGACTTGGTGCAGTCTGGTTTGATTCTTTCTCAGCTGGTTTCGACGCTGCTCTTGCTACTGGTGGCTTTGGGGTAGACTGGCTTGCGTTCTTCTCGGCTGGTCTCGCTGTTGCTGGCTTTGCTGCTGATGGCTTCGGAGCAGGCTGGTTTGATTCTTTTTCTGCAGGTCTTGCGGGCTTTGGTCTGAGATCTGAAGCAGCCGGGGTCTTCGAACCCGACGATCTTTGTGCTGCTGGTGCATGCTGATTAGGACCTTTCCCCGCCGGTCTCGAAGGATTCGCCGCCCCTGGCTTTGAGCTTGATGGCTTCGGCCCTGCTGGCTTATGAGACGGTGGTTTCGATGCAGGCCGACTATTTGAGTCTTTCTCGTTTGATTTTGCAGGGGCCGGCGTTGCTGGCTTCGAGGTTGCGGCCTGGTTAGGTTTGGATGTGCCCGAGGTATTATGGTGGCCAATCATCCTCAGCACTTGAGGCTTCAGTGCTGCTGCCCTGTGTGCTGCCATTTGTTCCGGCGTAGGGATTACCTTGGGAACCTCTGTATTTGGTGCTGTATCTGTTGGGGCTTCTGTTGGTGCATCTGTTGCTGGGGCCTGCTTCTTAGAATTTGTCTTGGCCTTGCTGGATTTTGAGGTCTTGTTTCCACTCGACTTGGTCTTTCTCTTCTTCGACTTCGCTTCTTCTGGTTCTGGAGCCTGAGATACAGTTCGCTCTTTGTGAGGGACTCCCTCGCCATCTTCGTCATCTTCCTGCAAAGCTGTTCTGGCCGGGTCAGCCTTTATGTATCTGTCAACCTCTTTGATGTGAGGAAGAAGATCGTTGTTGAGCTTTGGGTTGAATCTCCGCAAGTCCTTTGCGTCAATCCAGTCGATGGCACTCCTGTTAGGAAAGTCTCGACCGTCAAAGTACATGACTGGAAACATGCGTTCATTGACGAGACGATTCCCAGTCTCATAAGGTTTGGCCCATTTGTATTCTCCAGATACTTTATCAAACTGGTAACAGGGAGGAAGGGTGTCGGCCAAGCCGCAGGTTTCGATAGATCCAGGGATGCCGATCTTGTCGAAACTGCCCATTGGAAGAATGAGGACAGCAAGCCATTCCTTGGTCTTGTCCCAGTATGTCAAATAGACCTTTCCGCATTTCGGGTCAGTGATTCCCTTGAATTCGTCGGTGCCTGTCGTGTCCTGATGTCGCTGACTTAGTCGAGTCTGGCGTCGTGTTGACTCTGTTGTCGGTGCATCCTTTTGTGTCTCTTTGTTGGGAGAAGATGCTCGTTCGGACTTTTGGCGTTTGGTTTTCGTCACTGGGCTCGAGAAGTTTCCCTTGCGTTTGGTCTGACAAGGTTGGTAAGTAATATATCAAACATAGTTGGAGGTGAATCATCTTACTCCTCCTGATCTCGTTTGTCGTGGTGATGTGGGGGCTTCTTCAGGTTCAGAGAATTCGGCTTCAGATACCTCATCCTCTTCT